GGTGTTTTACCCTTAATAGATCCCATTTGTCGAATTCAGGTTCGCCTGTGTGTGTACCTTTCCCTATTGCATTTAGCCTATGTATTTCCTGGGCCAAGGTTCTTAGGTTTGTCCCGATTCTTTAGTTGATGGCCGTAATAGTTTGGGGTTTTACTTTTAGGTCTGTGATCCACCTTGAGTTTATTCTTGTGCTTGGGGTGAAGTAAACATCTTGTTTCATTTTTCTACATGTGGATATCCATTGTTTCCAGCACCACTTGTTAAATAGAGCATCTGCCTCCCACTTGATGCTTTTGGGGCCCTTGTCAAAGATCTGTTGTCTATATGCTGATGGCTTTATTTCTGGGTTTTCTGTTCTTTGCCATTGGTCTGAGTATCTGACATTATGCCAGTACCACGCTGTTTTAACCACTGAGACTGTGTAGTAGGTGTTAAAGTAGAGTAAAGTGAGCCCTCCAACTTTGTTCTTTTTGAGGAGTGTGTTAGTCTGGGTACTTTAGAGAAACAAATCCACAGAAACTCATGTATAAGAGAGAGTTTTATATAAAGGTAAGGTGCACATCAAGAAAACATCCCAACCCAGTGCTGCCCAAGCCCAGAAGTCCAACATTAACCCATATGTCCGACACCAATCCACAAAGTCCTCCTCCATCTCACAAAACACACACTATGACACCGACTGAAGGAGGAAAGCTGAATCAGTGAATGTGCAAGCATCTCAGCGCTGGCAGGGTCTCCACACGGCAGCTCCAACACCCAGGGCTACATCGGGGTAGGTCCATGCGTAAGGTGACCAGATTTTAACATTGGTAAAGCGGGACAAAAGCAGGGCACCATTGATAAAACTCATATCCTGGCAAAATAGCCACATGGCAGCCGAAAACCGTATACCCTAGCTTGTCGTGCATTCTTTCTAAAAATCAGGACTTTTAAAAACGCCGCGGGACGTGGAGAAAATTGTTAAAAATTGGGACTGTCCCGCCAAAAGTGGGACGTCTGGTCACCTTATCATGCGGCTTCTCCTTGGGGATGTCTTGCAGAAAGTGAGCCTAGCCAGCTGAAGCAGGGAACTGGCTAAGGCAGCTGCACCCTGGTCCGACCACCACAAAGCAGGAGACCCGAGAACTCGAAAGGCAAGACTTACTGAGCCATTTATCACTCTGTCCTTCAATTAGCCCCACATGTGTTTATCAGCCAGGTTGGCTGAATAAACTTCTCAAGGAGTTCTCTGCTAATTCTGGGCTTCTTCCCTCTCCCTATGAAATTGGTGGTCAGCTTTTCCAAATAACCTTTGAAGAAGGCTGTTGGTATTTGACTCAGGATAGCATTGAACTTATAAAGTGCCTTGGTTAAGGTTGACAACTTTAATATGTTGAGTCTTCCAGTCCACAAGCATGGGATATTCTTCAATTTAGGAGGTCGCTTTTGGTTTCCTGTAGTAGAGTCTTGTAGTTTTCCTTGTATAAGTGTTTGATTCTTGGTTTAATATATTCCTAGATATTTCAGTTTGCTCTTGGCTATTGTGAATGGTACTGCCTTCCTGATCTCTTCCGTGGTCTTGTCCAATGTATACAGCAAACCAATAGACTTACGTTTGTTGATCTTGTATCCCACCACTCTTCTATATTCCTCTGTCGCTGCCAGTACTCCTGTTGTGGAGCTTTCTGATTTTCAATGTACAGAATCATGGTGTCTCCAAATAGTGATAGTTTCACCCCTCTTCACTCATTTGGATACCTTTAACGTCCTTCCGCTGTCTTATATTCTTAGTTAGGCCCTCCAGTACGATATTCAATAGAAGTGGGGACAAGGGGCATCCTTGTCTGGTCACCTTTTTCAGTGGGATTGTTTTCATCCTTTCGCCATTGGCTATGATGTTGGCTATTAGCTTTTCGTAGATAGCTTATATTAACTTGAGGAATTTTCCTGCCATTCCCGTCTTCTTGAGAGTCTTAATTAGGAATGGGTGTTGGATGTTGTCAAATGCTTTTTCTGGGTCTAAAAATAATACCACGTGATTCTTATACTTTCTCCTATCAATGTGGTGTATAATATTGATGGATTTTTGGATGTTAAACCATCCCTGCATCCCTGGGATGAATCCTACCTGGTCGTGGTGGATGATATGTTTTATATACTTTTGAATTCTATTGGCCAATATCTTGTTAAGGCTTTTTGCATCTATGTTCATTAGAGATATGGGTCTGTAGTTCTCTATTCCTGTGGGGCCCTTGCCCTGTTGGGGTATCAAAGTTATAGTGGCTTCATAGAATGAGTTTGGGGGTTTGTCATCCTTTTCTACACTCTGGAATACTTTGTGGAGGATCGTTCACCGAACTTTTCAAATCCTGATTTTGTTCTAGCTTCATTGTGTATGGAGTAGCATACACAGTGGCACAGTGTTTATGCATTGGGCTGCAATCTGCAAGGTCAGCAGTTTGAAACCAGCAGCAGCTCCGAGGGAGAAAGAGCTTTCTACTCCCATAAAGAGTTAACATGGCAACATATGTACAGGTGTGCTTAATACAGTTGAATGATGGGTTGTCATAAGATTGGTTAGAGCCTCCCCAATAAAATGATAATAATAATATAATAATTTTTTAAAAGTGAACAGTCTTGGGAAACTCACAGAAGCAGTTTTACCCTGCCCTATGGGTTCGCTGTGAGTTGGAATCCACTCGACAGCAGTGAGTATGGTTTTGCGTTTGATCCTTGTCTAACGAGGCTGCATCCTCTGGTGAGGTTGGATGACGGGTGTTTCTTCCCCCCTTCTCACTGTGTCACCATCTTGGCTTGGGATCTTTGGGTAGACAGTGATTTGAGGCATATTCACACGGTTGGCCCTGATAATTGTTGTCAAAGGCCCCAAGTGCTCAGTGGCCGATTGATTTCAGAAGGCGTGCTGTGGACTGGCTAGGCGGAAGCTGAGCTAGTGTCCACTGCCCTGCCCTTAGAAATATGGCCAGCTGCCACTCTTCTCAGAATATGATGGACAGGAATTGAGTAGAGAGCTTTCGCAGATGCAGATGTGTGGGCCCTAGCCAAGGAGATGGTGATGAACTGGCCCAGGAATCTGCATTGCCAAGCCATTGCTGCGGCGATTTTGTTGCAGGCAGTCCACAGACCACACCTGGTATTTTGGCCAGGATCTTGCACTGGAGGGCTAGAGAGCCCCTTTGCTGTTAACTGTAGCAATGAGCAAGTTAGTTGATCTTTTTCAGTCTCAATGTCTTTACCCAGCAGACCAAAACACTCACTGCCACTCATAGCGACCTTTACAAGACAGGGTAGAATTGTCCCTGTGAGTTTCTGAGGCCGTAACTTTTTATGGGAATAGAAAGCCCCTTCCTTCTTCTACAGGGCAACTGGTGGTTTTGAAATACTGAGGCTGTAGTTAGCAGCCCAACACTATGCCACCAGGGCTCCTCTGAACCAGCAGAAGGAGAGTAGTAAGCTTTGCTTTGATGGCCTCGGAGTTGCTATAAAAATAAAATGGCATCTGACACATACTGTTTTGAACTCAAAGATGATGAGATTTTGTAAAAAGTATACAACACATATTCCTGGCCCAAATCCATCTTCTCTTTATATGTTATATAGTATGCACTCCCCATGACACTGAAGTGCTTGCTTGATCCTTAGTTCTCTTGAAGATACTGTTCACATCTGTCAGAACCTCCCCATCTTTGAGGTGTTTAGCTCAGCTTCAATATTGTCCAGGCACTCTAGGGTGGCTGTGGGCTAAACTTTGGGCTGCTTATCCTCAGGTCGGTGGTTCTAACCCAGGAGCCACTCTGCAAGAGCAAACTGAGGCTGCCTCCTCCTATAAAGAGTCATTACTCTCAGACACCTAAAGTAGGGCCGCTGTTCATCAGCATCGGGTCAATGGCAGTGGGCTTGCGGTTTGGGGTTCTCCATTTCCTTTAGCACCTCTGCAGCAGACGCTCATCTTTGTTTCTGTCTGTCTTTCTTTCTCTTTATTTTTGGACATGGAGATTTGTGACATTTTCTATTATAAAAAGAAACTGGTCTCTCAATAATTTTAAGGGTGTTAACCTCGTTCACTCTTAGCATTGATTTGTATGTTTCCATAATAAAAAGAAGCAACGACATCAGGAGACTGAAACTTGCTGGGTCCTTCAGGAGGCAGAGTTGGTGATCTGTCAGAAGTCCAGATACGGTGTATGTGCTGGTCGACATGAGTTTGTTCTAGTCCAGGACATTACAAGGAGCCCTGCTGGCACAGTGAGTTACCACGTTGGGCTGCTAACACAAGGTCAGCAGTTTGAAACCACTGGGCGCTTCTTGGGAGAAAGATGGGGATTTCTGCTCTCATCAAGATTTATAGCTTTGGAAACCCAGAGAGACCTAATCAGTAGGGTCATGATGAGTTGGCATCAAGTTTGGTTTGGGGAAGGCATTAGGTAGGTATCAGCTGTTTTCTGAAATGGACAGCGGTTACATGGACTCCGTTTAACTGTGTACCTTTGCCAGTGTAGAATCTGAGTATGGATAGGATGATTCCTGGAGTTGGGCATAGCAGGCTAAATCCTTGAGTTCTGTTTTCTTCCGTGTCTCAGATGTGGGATTTGTACTGGGCAAGAAGTCATTTTTACCACAGCCGTCACACACTCAGTCAATGAACCAACAGTTTGTATTGCCACGCTTCTCGACAGAGAGCGTTAACCTCTCCAGGCAGTCAGCTGATGAATCCTCTCTACCTTTAACTTAAAGTGCGCTTCTCCGTTTCTCAGTTGAATTTATAGTGGCCTTAGTGACCTAGAAACACTTGTTCAGGAGCCTTGTGGAAATTAAACTGGGAGCGCATCAGAATAAAATGAGGGTTGTTTTCTTTCTGGTATCAGAAAGTGCTGGAGAATGTGGCTGGTGCCACAGCTTCTTTGAAATGACTACTCTCATAGCCGGTTTTTTTCAATCATTCCAAAGGGCAGTGAGCTAAGAATGTGTTTAACTGAAAAGAAGGGTTGCTTTTCTTGCAGGTGAAGGTTGTGGATGAGCGGAGGTATCGGAAAGTCTTTGAAGATAGTGTGCGCTTCATGGACCGAATGGAAAATGACTTTCTTCCTTCTTTAGAGCTCAGCCGGAGGGAGGTGAGTCCAGCTCTCCATGGCCCCCCGAGTTGCTGCCGTTTGTGGTTAGCACCAAGAAAAGCATTGGGCTTAGGGGGAGGTAAGCAAGCGTGGGCCTTGGCTCAAACTCCAGTCCTTTCAGTGCTACCCTGTTCTCTTCTGGCCAAAGGGGTATTGGTTCCGGTTCCCCAAGCTTATCCACATAAGGCTCTCAGCGCTGCCCACCACCTAGTAAGTTCTCAGATGGGGACTGCTCTTTCTTAATATTCTAAGAGCTGCTACTTAGTTCCTACCTCCGGACATTGGAACTGGGCCACAGGAGCAGGAGCCAGAACCAAGTGAAATAGCCACAGCCACATAGCCCCTGCTTCGGCAGAGTGGGGATACCAGTTTCTGGAAGTGGGTGATGTGAAGCTGGTGATGCACCTGGTGAATTTGGACCATTCCCCTTAGTCGTATTCCCCATGGAGGAAATCCTGCTACTGCCTGCCCCCACTAGTCATGCATGTTTGTGTCTGTCTGTTATTCCCCAGTTTGTGTTTGAAAATGTGAAGTTTCGGCAACTACAAAAGGAGAAGTTCCAGATCAGCAACAACGGACAGGTTCCCTGCCATTTTTCTTTCATCCCCAAACTTAATGACACCCAGTACTGCAAGCCATGGCTTCGGGCTGAACCCTTTGAGGGCTACTTGGAGCCAAGTGAGTTCCCCCCCTCTCGCCCCCCCCCATTGTACCTGCCTTTATTTTTGTACCTGGCCCCACCCATAGTCCCACTTCTCCTTTGCTAACACCCCCCACCCACCCACCCCCCGTCTGTCCTATTTGTGACGCCTCCACGCTCTGCCTCTTTCCTGGGGTTTACCAGGCCACTTCTTCTTGCGTTCTTATGTCTCCCTGTTGTTGCTTTGCCACTGGCAGTGCCTCCGACCCCATGTGCCATCTCTTCTATTTCAGATGAGACAATAGACATTTCCCTCGATGTGTATGTTAGCAAAGATTCCGTGACGATCTTGAACTCTGGGGAAGATAAGATCGAAGATATTCTTGTCCTGCACCTGGATCGAGGCAAAGATTACTTCTTGACCATCAGTGGAAATTACCTCCCAAGCTGCTTCGGCACCTCCTTAGAGGCCCTGTGCCGGATGAAACGACCAATCCGAGAAGTCCCTGTAACCAAACTCATCGACTTGGTAAGAGGCTTTCGAAGATACACCCTTCCAATCGCAGTGGTTCTTGCCATACAAAAGCGATGTCCCCATTGCCTCTTCGATGGTCTTCGGGGTTATGGGGTGGTCACTGAGAATGTTACTTTACTGCTTAGAAGTCAAGGGAACAGTACTCTATGGCTGACTTGGGTCAAGATTCTAAGAATTTTCAACCCACTGAGGAAAAATAAAAGTTCCCTTTCTCATAGAGAAAATGCTTATTTTTGAAAGTTCATCATACTTTCGAGGTGTCCTGGAGGTGCTGTTAGGTTAAGCATAGGATTGCCAACCACACAGTCAGCAGTTTAAACCAACCAACTGAGCCTTGACAGAAAGACAAGGCTGTGTGCTCCCGGAAAGACTGACTGCATATATAGGGTTGGGAGGAGTTTGAATCAACTTGATGGCAGTGGGTTTTTGTTTGTGTTTGGTTTCAGATTGTCAATTCGCTTTTGTGTATCCTCTTAGCACACACGTGAGGTATGGTAATGGGAGCAGGAGGTATTATCCCCATTGAACATAGTCGCCGAGAAAACAGAAACAGGAACCGACTCCTCATCCAATAAGTCAGTGCCAGCACGATTGCCCTATTTTATGCTTCTCAGTCCAGTGTGCCCCACTCTGGTGCATTCATCATATCTAATCAGAATAAACCTTGGTAACTTCCTGTGATGGTTACTCTTATCCTGCAGTGGCTAGTTGCCCTAATCCCCAAGCATCACACTTGGGGGAACACCACATCTGAAGCCCCAGGGTGTTTCTGGGGTTGCATATTACAAGTAATGGTGTTTGCCCCTGTGCACAACAGAATTGGAATCTCAGGGTGAAGAATCTGCCATTTCTTAGCATCCCAGATGATTAGAATGTGCATCGACATTCGGTGTTCATTGGATGTGACTGGTTTAAGCATGGAAAGAAGCAGGCCTTCCCCACCGTCCAGCCAAGCACTGGCTTCGGTATCTTAATAGGGGCAGTGTATTCAGTTGTATTCTGGACCATGAGTGGATTTAGGACAAGTCCATCCTTCGAAAGGCAAAGATGGTTGGACCTGCGTGCAGACTTTTCAGACTCTAAAAGTAGCTTCATGGTTTTGTCCGCAAAGCAAACTAGGTCACGTGCCTTAATCAGTCTGGTCCGCATTAGTATGCGAGCTCTCCCCGGATCGTGGTGGGGGAGGACTAGGCCGCTGGCTGGCTTGAGTGTGAGCTCTCCAGTTGCCATGGCATTGTGTCAGCAGTGACTCAGAGAGCAGCTTTCCACCCGGGCATGCAGCCCTGGCCTTCTTTCTTGGAATTCTTGTTTCCCTAGAGCTTCCTGACCAAATGCGCTCTTACCTCAGTTTGAGAGAGAACTGTTTTCTTCTGAAATTCAGATCCTGCTAATCTGCTGTTTCAACTGAAGACTTGTTTTTCTCTTTTATCACCACACTCTTGCCTCCCTTTTAGAAGAGCCAGCAATCTCAACAATGGAGTTGTTTTTCCTTTTCTCCGACTCACTTCCTTCTGTCCCAGCTTTTAATTTTGTCAACTTTTCATTACGAAAAATGTCAAATGTGGAGGAGGGAGGACAGTCCAGTAAACACCCACCCCCACACCTTATGAACTTATATACATACACTTCACGTTTTTTTGGTGGTGTTGTTGTTGTTGTTTCCTTTGAAATCCAGTGATCCTGTCGTGTCCCTTTGCCACAAACCACTTCAGCCCGCATCTCTTAAAACAATTCCTTTGTAGTTCTCTGTATTATAGTTCTATTATAAAACCCAACTCACTGCCACCAAGTCGATTCTGACACACAGCAACCTTATAGGACAGGCTAGAAGCGCCTCTGAGTTTCCGGGACTGTAACTCTTTACAGGAGCAGAAAGTGGCATCTCTCTCCTGAGCAGTGGCTAGTGGTTTCAACTGCGGACCGTGCAGATCCTAACAACACGTAACCACTGCGCCTCCAGGGTTCTTAGTTATTATCACCCAAGAAAACAAACAGTAATGCTGTGTCTTCCGTTCTGCAGTTTATATTCACAGTTCTTCAAAAACTTCTTGTACAACATTTGAAAAGCCACCTTCCAGGCTGGGTTCCTGCAGCCCACTGGCTGGGTTTTCTTTTACGAGGTTGGCTTTTTGTGAGTCCAGAGCACATGTCCTGTCCAGGGCCCATTCTTTGGATTGATGATGGTTTCCTTTTAGTGTGGCTTTTTTATATAACTTAATCACTTTATGCTCCTTCGTCCCCATGTATTTCACGGGAACTAGATTGCAGAATTATTTTTTAGTAAAAATTGGGAGAGACCTGATAACACCCTTGGCCATAGTTTCCCCAGATTCATTCTGGACATAGTTAGGAGGCTCAGTTAAGCAGCACACATTTCTGTGTTGTTGTTGGTAATGTACTCTCAGGGCATCTGGCTACATTTGCCCGTGAGGATGAAGTAACCAAAGTCATTGGTCAAGTTCATGGCTCTGGAACCGAGTACCTACTTTCTATTGGTGGACAACTGATACCTGGCCCTTTTTACAGGGAGCAAATGGCTGAGTTCCTTCCCAGTTGTGGGTGTGTGGTCATCGTCTCTTCTTTTAAAGGTGTTCTTTCATGGGATTCAAGGTTCTGGTTCCTTGTGCAGTCTGTTCCAGTGCAGTGCTATTAAATTCCCTATATTGTTAATGAAGTGTTCCCTATCCAAGTCCGGCTCAGTACATGAGAACTCCGAAGGTTATCTAGATCTAATTCTCACTACCTTCCCAACCTATCTCCACTTGATGTTGGCCTTCTGAAGTGCTTTCCAAAGGGTCATCCTTGTTTATGCATCTTTCACCTGAATCATCTTTCACATTCCACAAGGTGATGGATGCAAATAACCATCAGTCTGTGTCCGTTTTGGTCTTACTGACTCTGACCTGCTTGTGGAGCGGGAGCAGAGCTCACGGCCTGTGCTTGAGAATAATTCCTGGGCCACTTCCTCTTCCTCCCCAATAGAGAAAGGAATACCTGGCTGGCATGCATCCTGTTCATTTTCCCCACCCTCCTTGGTGACCATGCCTGTTGCCAATGCCTAAGACTCCTAGAACAGCTTGCATCAACCCCAGCAGGAAACGGGGAAATCGACCATCCGCAATGATCTTGCTCCTCCTCCAGAACTAAGACATAATTTTTGTTGTTTTATTAAGTAAATAGCATCTACTCGTCAGCACTTTTGCTTTCCCTGTTGAAAACAAAGCATTAAATGTGGGTTCCTGTAATTTGGTGGCAATGGAAGTATACTTATAAAATGTGCAATGTGGCTGAATTCTCAAGCAGGGTTCCTGGGGAGTTGGCTTCCTGTCCAGGGTGTTGAGTCAGTATGTGGTCAAGCCCATTGCAATGAGTGCTAAGGAGCGTGCAGTTTGTATAACAGAGTCCTGTGTTGTTTACTCAAGCCTGTCTGTGCTCTGAACGCTTATTGATTGACCAGCTGATCTCTGTAAAACTCAGTCTCAGAATCAGCCTAGGTTAGCTTTAATAAATATGTGATGCATACAGCATTAACATGACTAGAAATGATAAGTTCAGCACCTAAGCCTACTCGAGTTGAAAAATGATTTGTGGAGAGTCCAGGAAGTCATTGAGTCAGGTCCAAGAGGGCAAGGCATTTGCCTCCGCTCCTTGGGTGAGCAGGCTCTTCTGGGCATCAGGGGCGTCTTGAATAATGGTGAAGGTCAAAAGATGATGCCGCGCAACAGGTCCGATTTCTCTGCGAAGAGTGAGGATCAAGGAGAAACACGTGGGAAGCTGGGTAGCGTTGAATGGGAGCAAGTGGTAGCGAGCAGTGACGCCAGCAGGTGAGCAGAGTCCGCTTGAGCTGTAGGACATCTAGCCTAGGGGCCAGCAAGACTTTGAGACAGAAGAGCCAATCCCGTTCCTCACAATTTCAAGATGATTAGAGATCCAGAAATATATTTTTATAAACAAATGAATTCTCCATTATCTGAATGTCATTGAAATTTGTTCAGTTTTATTTCAGAGCCACATGTACATATCGAAAGAACCACATATGACTCACGAGCTGCAGTTTGTGGATCTAGAGCCACCAGAAACCTTGGGCGAGCAGTGTGAGGTCCTCAATCAAACACATTCAGGCATTGCTTTTAGAATGGGAAGGTGACCAGGCTTGAATGAGCCAGATCTTCTTATGGGGCTATGAATGTCGAGACAGAGTAGGGGGAAAAAATGCAAGACAGGGTGGAGAATGTATACACTCGGGGACATCCCTCTTGAGAGAACTAAGTGCCACACACATGGAATACCATTGTAGGACGGAATTCATTCCTGCGTGTTTATTTTTTCGTACCAACCTTAACAACTCATCCCATATGCTATTCAGTGTCTAATCTGTGTTCCTTATTCCACGGTGAAACTCCTAACCCGCTTCAGAACCTCAGCCTCCACTCAGCGTTTGGCTGTTTATTTTAATTTGGACTCTTAGTGCCTCAGCCATGAGTGCAGCATGCATTTGTGTTGGAGCAAACCCTGCAAGAGTGAATGTGGGCAGAGTGGAGGGTGTTGAGGACGGGCGAATGAGTTGCATAGCATTTGGAGGGGGCTTTCCACTCTTGTGAAGAGTTAGTCTCAGAAAGCCCGCGTGCAGCCCTATCCCATCCTGTGAGCTTGCTCTGAGTTGGCATCGACTCGATGGCAGTGAGATTATGGTTTCTCTCTGCCTACACCCACAGAGCAGACGCCGAAGGCCAACCTGCTGCCAGGAGGTTGTGTGACTCCCACCAGGAGAGTCACAGCCCTGTGGATTCCTCATTTCCGTTGACTCTTGTGTCCATTCATTTTGCAAAATAGTCTTTTCCCGTTTCTAGTTAATGGTGCTTACTCCCTCTGGCTTAACCTACCCCAATAGCCTTCTCCTGATTCCCTTTGCCTCTCTCACTCTACGACCCTTCAGTGTTTCCCATTCAGGGTGGGCAGACTGATTTTTCTGGAACACTGCTCTAGAGCCCATCACTTAGTTGTTTGCATGGAGACTGGTCGCCTCGCTCGCTGAATCCAGCCTCAATTCCGGAAGCTGTCTGGCTTCAGTCTCACTATTCAGCTTCATCGCCTACTATCCTTCTCCGCACCCCCAGTGCTCACCTCACGTCAGGTGCCTCACTCCACCCCATAGTTTACCTTCTCTGTGCCTTGGCTGGGAATGGCTCCCGGTCACCTCTACCCTGTCAGTTTGTAACCCGTTTTGTTTTTCACAGTTTTATTGGCATACAATTCACATATCATACAATTTAGTAGTTCACTCACATCAAAACCGGTACAGTCATTACCACAGTCAATTTTGGAACATTTTCTTCTTTCTTGTAGTCCTTGACTCCACATTTCCCCCCACCTCCCGTGCTACACCCCCAAGAAACCATGAATCCAGTGACTGCCTCTATAGATACACCCATCCTGGGTTTCTACCCTGGAAAACATACAAGAAAGCTAACAACAATAACAAAATAAAATTGCAAAAACTTCAATAGAAAAGAAAGCAGAAAATACTAAAATGATAGAGCCGATGATAAGGTTTCAATTTTTACCCAAAGTCTATCTGCCTCAGTCCACTTCCCAGTGCAGCCGGCATGACAGCAAGACCGTTCGCGTCCCGGGTCTGTGTTCGCCTGCGGCCTAATTCCCATGCAGTTTTCCTTCACTTGTTTTCTCACTGAAACAACGTTTAAAGGGGTCACGAGCAAGATCAAATAAGGTGTTACATTGAATCTAGCTACACTATAATCGTCTCTACAATACTCTCTGTCTGAGTCTGATAACAAGGCTATTTATGTCCCTCGACTACGGTCAGAGGGATTCACTGGAAGGACCTATGGCTCTTAAGGGTCAATTAGGTCCCACTTCCCTGGTGAAACCTCCTGACAGCCTGGCTACACGTCGTAGTTCTGCATGATTGCTGTGCACCCCCACACATGTACACATACATCACCTAGTGAGAATTTGTATTTTGTGACAATTATGACAATAGAAGGCCAGAAATGGGGGGCTTCCTTCATGACTCAGTTACAAGCCAGGGCCAGGCAGGGCCCATGTGCTTGTCCTGCATGGATTCTCCTCATTTCTCTCTCTTCCTGCCATCCTTCCCCCACCAAAAAAGGTATTTAGCCTGGTGCCTCCTTATACTGACAGGTGTTCAAAGAAAACTTCGAGAGCCCAGTTTGACAGGTTTATATACAAAAACCCTGCCTTGTTTACTCATCATGTGTCATGCATTCATGGGTAGAAAAATAGAGAAACTTGCTAGACATAGGCAGTTCTCTAATTGTTAACAGTCTCCAACTTCCTAGCCGCTGGTTCAACTAGATGGTTGGCATGCAGGATTGATTTTCACATTAAAAAGCAATTATCACTACAATCCTAGAAATAATGAATATTTCACAGCACAGAATTCTTCTGAGTGCCTGTTATTTGATCTCATGTGGTATTTGAAAGGCAAGGTAGCAAAGAAAGACTCTGGAGGAAGTACGCGAGCACAAAGGCAGTGATGAGAAATACTGATATATGCACGAATCAACAATCATTTATGAGCAGTACCCAGGTAAATATGTAAGCTGGCCAGGTGTGGGATGGCATACGAGGGTACACCTATGAGCATATATAGGTTTGGCAGAAGGTATTTCCACGTATGTCTTTGTATGGACTACAAACATATCCAGGTACACAGTAGGATACAAAGAGCAAAATTATGCTAACCTTTTAACCACAATCAAACCCCGTGAAGGATTGAATCACTAGGCATGAAGGCTGTGGACCATGGTCTCGGGGGACATCTTGGTCTACTGGCATACCGTAGTCCATAAAGGCAATATTTCTACCCTCTACTTCAGTGAGTAGCAACTGGACTTCTTAAAAGCATGTGAGCAGCCATCAAAGGCACCACTGTTGGTCCCCTCCCATCTGGAACAAAGAAGCGTAAGGAAAAGCAAAGAGATGCATGAGACCGTTGAGCCCAAAGACTAATGGGGCCACACAAAGCACAGCCTCTACTAACCTGAGGCCAGAAGAAGCAGATGGTGCCTGGCTACCACTAACAACCACTCCGACAGGATTAAAAGAGAAAGTCTTAGATGGAGAAAAACAGAGAATGAAATTCAGAATTACAAACAAGACCAGACATTCTGGCGTGATAGAGACTGGTGGGAGCCACCAGGACTCTGGCCAGTAGACACCCTTCAAACCTGGAACCAAACCTACTCCTGGTGATCATCTTTCAGCCAAACTATAGACAGACCTAGAAAGCTCCAGGCGGGAATGCTACCCCTAGTACAATCAATAGGGTGACACCAAAAGGGCAGCATTTGCCCCAAAACAGAGTTCAGGAGGTGGGGAACGGGGGTAAGAGAAGCAAACTGAACTTTCTGTACAATTTTTCTGTAAACCTAAAGCTAAAAAGTAATTCAGAGAGAGGGATTAAGTAAGGACACAACTGCTTGTTTAACTTATAACATATCTAATAATACTAAAACTCCAGTCGTGCATTCAACATCACAACTTAAAATGTCCAGTAACAATCCCTACTCCCCGACCCAGCATTTCCAACGGTACCATTGGGATTTCTCTTGTTACCCACTGAAAGCGCGACAGTGATGTGTGTGGAAGTTTTCCATGGCCTCTAATGGGACTGGTAGGATGCCAGTTAGTAGTGACCTGGAGGGCAGGGGTGCTCTGAGGGGTACAGGCACCCTCCCTGGTGGGCATACCCCCCCTTGGTTTTAGGCTGCCTCCCTGTCCCAATGATGTAAATATGTTTGCCCCAATGAGAGAGAAAGAAGCGGAGGCTCTAGAAGGTTATTAATAACTTGCCTAGAGTCTGTACAAAATTAACAGTAGGCCAAAATAAGGTTTGACACCCTGGTGTGTCTAACTCTAACACCTGCACTCTTTCCAGAACCCTGCAGCCTTGAAATGAGGGCTTCGGGCTGCCCTGAGCTTGTTACAGAGAGGAATAACTTCTGAACACTGTCCCCTGCCTCTCTGTCCAGGCAGCAATTGCCTTGGCCTTTTTTGGGTTGTCTAAGGGAGCAGCAGGAGAAGGGCTGTGGAGGCTGTCAGACCAGGGATTCTGATTGCAAGTGTGATTTTGAGTCAAGTCTGTTGTTGCTCCTGACAAATGGAACTAACAGCGACATCACGTACACATGCCGGTCAGGTTGTCACTGTCTGTGAGCGCTCTACCCTGCTCCTGATACACCACAGTGGTTGTTATTGTTGCCGTTGTTGTTACTGAACAGAATAACACGAAAGACAGGAGGATGAAGAGGTGCCTTCTTCCCTCTCCCCTGCTCAATAGATGGGGCTTCTGGTCATCAGAGGTCTGCCATAAAATTGTGTGCATTTCAGAGGGTGATCTAAAAGGGGGGGTGGGGTGCTACAGGCCTTTGAGGAAGGATCTGGCTATGGGGCAATGGAAAAGAGCCTGGGATGCACCCAGGAGACTAGCTAGGGTGGGCGGAATGGCAGTGGAGGGGAGAGAGCGGACCATCTCCTTCCCTGTGGCCACATCCAGGTCCTCTTATAGCCATGGCCTTAGGACAAGGGGACAGGGGGAAACCGCAGATAAAAAGGCAGCAGGGTCCGTGGGCATTGGGCTAGGCCAGCCAGCAGCTGCCACAGGGCATAAAGGTCTAAGACCGTGCTAGCATGTTTCTGTAACTAGTTTCTCAGAAAAAAACATGCACATTAACAGTGCGCTCTGTTCTCTGCGGGCATCATTGATTGGAAGACCATAAAGCTGTTTACAACCTATGTGTCTAGTAAGCGCGTGCGTGTGTGTGTGTGTGTGTGTGTGTGTGTGTGTGTGTGTGAGCGAGCATGCGGGCACTAATAATAGTGCTGTTGCTAATTCTGTGAATTAATTCTGTCGTTTTCTGTCTGTAAATGACTTTCTTTTCCCTGCTCTGCTCTCAGGAAGAAGACAGCTTCCTAGAAAAGGTAATGCAGGCCCTTGGTGGCATTGCGAATTCCCCTGTGCTTGATTAACACTTAATGGGCACCGGCGGGTAAGCCTGGGGCTGCTTACGACAAGGTCAGCGGTTCAGACACATGAGCCACTCTGGGAGAAAGGGGAGGCTGTTCACTTTCATCCAGATGGACAGCCTCAGAAACCCTATCTAGGGCCACTAGGAGTCGGAAGCGACTCGTTGGCAGTGGGGTTGGTTGGGGATGGTCCCCGAAATGTGTCCTCCCAGCTTTATCTGCATTTGGGACACACTCGGGATGTTCCCTGCACAGGCCAAGCCATTGAGGTTCAGTGCATAAAAGCAAGAGGGAACAGAGAGTACAGCCGGTGGGACTGAGTGGGACCAGGAGGGCTCCTGGGCCAGGCAGCAGAGCCCCAGCAAATTGGCAAACCAGACTAAGGTCATGATGCTCCAGGTAGCACCCGGCAGGGTGGGGTGGAGGGGGCTAGAGCCTTGGGCAGCAGGCTGGGAGGAGAGGGGCAGGTTGAAAGCAGCAGCCATGCCTACCCATCCAGTGGAGCTCCGAGTTCACTGCGCTTTGAAAGTTTTGACATGGATGGCGCACTGCTGCTCCTGAGCTTTCGGTATTAGGACTAGAGTGGCACAGGGTGAGTATGTTAGACACGGTGTTTTGTCAAGGGAAGAAAGGGTTTAGACTCAGGATCATCTTGTGGATTTTTTTCTTCCAGTATTCTTGCGTGCACATGAGCTCTTCACTCAACTTCGATACAAGTACGCTGTTTCCCGGCCTCACTGGGGACTTTGCACAGGGAGCACACAGGGTGGGTCTAAGCGACTGACACCTTAGTCACCTTGTTACACCCCTGATGTGAGACTGCGCTGCTCCTCACCGTGTCCCTGGGCACTGCCTATCTTTGCACCTTGGGCAGTGCCTGGTGTGGCTCTGATACCCCAGTACAGGACCCATTCCACTTGGCTGTCACACTGGCTCCCAGACCATGGACCAGGGCTGAAGAATGGAGGCACCAGCTGTGACACGTGTTGTGTTTAGGCCCCAAAGTTCGCAGGGTGCCTCCTTGGACAATGTTGGGGCAAGGACATTACGGGGATGCCCAGGTCAGGAAAGAAGCTCAGGGATGAGCCCTGGATAGAATGTTCTGGCAACTCAAGGGAAGATGAGTCAAGGGACTGAATCCCCAGGGATGGCAGGCAGGCAGCTGAATGTAAATGTTTTAAACACTCGCCAAGAGGCATGCTCCTTCCTCCCCCCCCCCAAAAAAAAGACACTGGAGTGTACTAAGGGCATTGGGCCCTCCTTGAGACCCACTAGGTTAAAAGGAGGCCCATACTCTGCTGGTGTCTTGGTTAGCAACAGGCTGCTCCCATTCTTTCCCTAAAAGCTACATAGCTGAGTGTCGCAGGTGGGATTAACAGACTACCCAGTGGTGTGCTGGAATTTCCAAAAGTGTATACAATACTTGATTTTGAACTTGGAGGGAGGAGGGTGGGGGAGATAGAGAAAATTGGTTCCAGTTTTCACCTTTCAGAAGGCACCTTTTAACCTAATTTAGACACCTTTGACTAGAAACAAAGGTGACACTGGTGAAAGTGCTCAGCTGCCAACCCAAAAGTCAGCAGTTCCAACCCAGCAGTGCTTTTCAGGAGAGAAAATGGCAGCCTGCTTCCATAAAGCTGTCCAGCCTTGGCAACCCTACGGCGCAGTTCTGGTCGGTCCTGAAGGGCTGGTTGCTATGAGGCAGAATTGACTCCTGACAATGGCTGTACAGACCCACCCCTGCACAGTGGCATGACAATGAGTGTACAAACCCAATCCTAGGAGAGGATTGCCTTTATTCCCCTCCCCTCCTTGTTCAGTTGTGATTTAATATATATCTCATTCCAGTTTTCACTCACATCAAGTAGAATGTACAATTGCTACCAGAGTTTCCAAACATTCTTTTTCTACATGGACTCCTTGACATTGTCTCCCTTTTACACCCCACCACCACCGCCCCACCACAACCACTGTACTCGCCTCCCCCAAGCCCCTTTAGTCTACTTGCTGTCCCTATGGGTTCATCAATCCGGGGTTTCAGATACCAAAAAATGGAAAAGGCCTACAACCTAGCTGTAAGAGGGTGACTTCCATCGACATAACACCTCTGAGATCGCTCTGATATGAACAAACAACAACTGAGCAATACAAACCAAAAATATAAAACATTTGAAAACCATTATCTGGTCCGGTCCGCATCATAGGTCCCAGCGCATCCTTTTTTAAATTTATAATTTATTGGAGGCTCTTACAGCTCTTATAACAATCCATATATCCATTATGTCAAACGCATTTGTACTTATGTTGCCATCAACCTTGTTAAAACATTTTCTGTCTACTTGAGCCCTTGGTATCAGCTCATTTTTTCCCTCCTTCCCCCTATTGTTTTAATTAAAAGATCATTTTATTGCAGGCTCTTACAGCTCTTATTATAATCCACAATCGATTGTATCTACCCAAGCCTCCTTAAGGTCCTGTTTCCTTAGTAACTGCTGGAGGCTGGCTACTTCTGCGTTTCTCCCCTCACCTCTCTCAGAGGGACCTCTGAGAAAGTAGAAAAGTGGGTGGACGAGGTGAGAGCTACTGATACGGACTCCAGCCCTAGACGTTCCCTGGGCTTTCTGTCACTCAGTGTGCTGGTTTGGGAGTGTTTTGTGGCTGATGCACCCATGGGGAGGGTTTGCCCGTTCTTCCTGACCAAAGATTGGCATCTAAGTCCAAAGGGACAAGAGAGAGATTGGCAGTCAGTCAGGCTGGAAAGAGGCAAAGACCGGAAGTACAGAAAACCCTCAATCTTGACCCTGCTGTCTGAAAGCGCCATGCTGACCATTGTCATTTCTGTGTGTGGCCCACCCTGTAGCGGTATCGCTGGAGCACTGGTCCACGCACGGTGTCCACTGTGAGTGAGTTTCTTGCACAGTGAGTGCATCCACATGGTAACAAACCCACATGAAGGGCTTCCGGTTCAGTGAAGCATTTTGGCAAGGTCCTTCAACTGTGGCGTATTCGCTGCCCAGGCCTGCCCCCAAGTGAGAGGGAAAAAAAGATCACGCTATGCTGGGACCCGCCTAAGTTACACACACAGGCCTTTCCTTTGACACCTCTTTGATAATCCTTTTTCATCCACTAGGAGAAATCTCTTCTGCAGATGGTTCCCTTGGATGAAGGTGCCAGTGAGAGACCCCTCCAGGTCCCCAAGGAGATCTGGCTTCTAGTGGATCACTTATTTAAACACGCCTGCCACCAGGTGAGTGAGCGCTGGTGGTGTGTGAGACAGCTGAAGGCTGCCAGCACAGAGGTTCACCCAGGAGCTCAGCGGAAGCCTAGTGGCAGCGCCGGGGCCGGAATGGAGAATGCCTGTGGGGAGTAGTGGGTTGCAAGGTGGGCCACTAACTGCAAGGTTGGTGGTACGAACCCACCACGTGCTCTACAGGAGACAGAAAGGCCTGTCAGCCCCTCTTCAAGATTTACAGCTTTCGAAGCCTCCAGGGGCAGCTCTGTCCCATCCTATCGGGTCATTGCAAGTTGGAACCAACTTGAGAGCAGTGAGTTCATTTTTCGGGGGGTTTGTACCTTCGAGCACTCTGGGTCCAGGTCTGTGGTGCCCACTGTAGCTTATAGGTGGGCATTGAGGACTTTAAAAGTCCAAAGCAGACTTCAAACTACGTAATTTCTTTGATTTGGTCCTCCTCGTTGCGCCCCCCCC